TATTTGTAAAATCAGTGAAAAAGAAATCAGAAACCCTGAAATAATCAAAAGCCACAGGTTATATCAGCATTCCCCAATAAATAACTTATTATGTTTACTGGGTAATACTTCCTTTTAGTCATGAACAATTAAACTGGAGTAGAATAATAAACATGTTCAGCTGCTTGTAATTTGGTCTTTTTCTTCCTGCCAGATGACTGCTGCTATTTTGTTTTTGTGTGATTAATCAAATGTGAAGCTCGTTAGTGACGGTTCATCAGTTTGATCCAACCCGACGATCCGCCCTCAGACCCATGGGACATTTTATTCAAACAGGAAGAAATCTTTTTGTGCTGAGACAGGAAGTTGTCCAGAACTCTAACGGACATCAGATACGCTGAAAGAACTAGATAAGAAAATGATTTTGTACGTTAGTCACAAATCACGTTGAAACATTGCTCATTCATCAGACTCTAGACAGGATTATTGCTCTACTTTTGTTTTATTTGTCGGGAGTTATTTCTTGGCATGGAGAAACGGTCCTCTCCTCCTGCATGAAATAATTCTATTGTTGCTCCTTCGCTGTAAAAATTCTTGACACGTATTTTATTTGGATTTGTTTCAAACAGAAAACCAGTTGATGTTTGGAAGTCAGTGAGTTCAAGATTTACAGAACAAAGTCGCCGAGGTTTTCTAAAGCACAGCCCAAACTGTAACAGCACAAAAACACAAATACTGAGCTCCACAATGTCATCTGAAATTACACCGAACTACCGGAGACTGGGAGGAACCCAGTTCACCAAGTTACCGTTTCTTCTTCTCTTTGCTGTCCCTTCATGTCGCTCCACAGCCAATCATCTGTCTCCATTTAGTCCCGTCATCTACCCTCACATCAACTAGCTTCATGTCCCCTTTAACAGCATCATTAAAGCTTTTTGTTTTCCTCCCAGCCAGCTGTCTGTCTCCTCTGGACATGTCCAAACCATCTCAGCCCGTTTCCTCTGTCTCGACCAGCAACTGATAACCTTTAAAGTGTCTTTTCTTCTACGTTCTCCAGAAAACTGAAATGGGTTTTTCTGCACTAATGAGATGTCTGTGGTTCCATCTGAGTGTGTGTGAGTGCATGTGAGTGCGTGTGTGTGTATGAGTGCGTGTGTGTGTGTGTGAGTGCGTGTATGTGTGTGTGTGAGTGCGTGTATGTGTGTGTGTGAGTGTGTGTTTCGCAGGTAGAAGGTGCTTCCTATCTGACGGACAAAAAAAAAACAATCTACCTCTGACTGGAACATTTTCAAATGTTTTTACATTTTCACAGGATAGTTGAGAAAATTTCATTATTGAGAATTTTAATGTGATAAAATCCATCCATCATCGACCCATACATATATATATATATATATATATATATATATATATATATATATATATATATATATATATATATATAAGCGTCAGCTAAATCAATAAGCATACAGGTGCTGGCCAGTAAATTAGAATATCATCAAAAGGTTGAAAATATTTCAGTAATTCCATTCAAAACGTGAAACATGTACATTATATTCATGCAATGCACACAGACCAATGTATTTCCAATGTTCATTACATTTAAATTTGATATTCATAAGTGACAACTAATGAAAACTCCAAATTTGGTATCTCAAAAAATTAGAATATTCTGAAAAGGCTGAATATAGAAGACACCTGCTGCCACTCTAATCAGCTGATTTACTCAAAACACCTGCAAAGGCCTTTAAAAGGTCCCTCAGTCTTGTTTTGAAGGCACCACAATCATGGGGAAGACTTCTGACTTAACAGCTGTCCAAAAGACAATCATTGACACCTTGCACAAGGAGGGCAAGACACAAAAGGTGATTGCTAAAGAAGCTGGCTGTTCGCAGAGCTCTGTGTCCAAGCACATTAACAGACAGGCGAAGGGACGGAAAAAATGTGGTAGAAAAAAGTGTACAAGCTCTAGGGATAACTGCACCCTGCAGAGAATTGTGACGACAAACCCATTCAAAAATGTGGGGGAGATCCACAAAGAGTGGACTGCAGCTGGAGTCAGCGCTTCAAGAACCACCACGAGGAGACTCATGAAAGACATGGGATTCAGGTGTCGCATTCCGTGTGTCAAGCCACTCTTGAACAAGAAACAGCGCAAGAAGCGTCTCGCCTGGGCCAAGGACAAAAAGGACTGGACTGATGCTGAGTGGTCCAAAGTTATGTTTTCTGATGAAAGCAAGTTCTGCATTTCCTTTGGAAATCAAGGACCCAGAGTCTGGAGGAAGAGCGGAGAAGCACAGAATCCACGTTGCATGAGGTCCAGTGTAAAGTTTCCACTGTCAGTGATGGTGTGGGGTGCCATGTCATCTGCCGGTGTTGGCCCACTCTGTTTCCTGAGGTCCAGGGTCAATGCAGCAGTCTACCAGGAAGTTTTAGAGCACTTCATGCTTCCTGCTGCTGACCAACTTTATGGGGATGCAGACTTCACCTTTCAACAGGACTTGGCACCTGCACACAGTGCCAAAACCACCAGCACCTGGTTCAAGGACCATGGTATCCCTGTCCTTGATTGGCCAGCAAACTCGCCTGACCTTAACCCCATAGAAAATCTATGGGGTATTGTGAAGCGGAGGATGCAATACGCTAGACCCAACAATGCAGAGGAGCTGAAGACGACTATCAGAGCAACCTGGGCTCTCATAACACCTGAGCAGTGCCACAGACTGATCGAGTCCATGCCACGCCGCATTACTGCAGTTATTGAGGCAAAAGGAGCCCCGACTAAGTATTGAGTGCTATACATGCACATTCTTTTCATGTTCATTCTTTTCAGTTGGCCAACATTAGAGAAACAAAAATTTTTTCATTGGCCTTTAGAATATTCTAATTTTCTGAGATACCAGATTTGATGTTTTCATTGGTTGTCACCTATAAATATCAAATTTAAACGTAATAAACATTGGAAATACATTGGTCTGTGTGCATTGCATGAATATAATGTACAAGTTTCACGTTTTGAATGGAATTACTGAAATATTTTCAACCTTTTGATGATATTCTAATTTACTGGCCAGCACCTGTAAACATCCGAAACATCTCAGAAGAGTGGCTGGGCTCTCCCTTAGAGATAGGGTGAGAAGCTCGGTCATTCAGGAGGGGCTCGGAGTAGACCCGCTGCTCCTCCACATCGAGAGGAGCCAGTTGAGATGGCTCGGACATCTGGTCAGGATGCCTCCTGGACGCCTCCCTGGTGAGGTTTTCCGGGTACGTCCAACCGGGAGGAGACCTAAAGGTAGACCCAGGACACGGTGGAGGGACTATGTCTCTCACCTGGCCAGGGAACTCCTTGGGATTCCCCCGGAGGAGCTGGCCCAAGTGGCTGGGGAGAGGGAAGTCTGGGCCTCTCACCTTAGGCTACTGCCCCTACGACCCAACTCCGGATAAGCGGATGAAAATGGATGGATGGAGAATAAGAGCCAATGACAGGAAGTATGAAAAAAATTACATGTTTTTTTTAACCAGTGGTTGCAAGAATGTGAACCTTAACAGACTGCTAATATCGAAGATTTTTGATGCCGTCCGATATAATCTGATAGTGTTTTTGGGCCGATATCAAATTACTTCCAATATCCGAACGGGACATCCCTATATATGTGTATATATATATATATATATATATATATATATATATATATATATATATACACATATATACACACACACACACACACACTTCTAGTCATTTAGAGTGCCCCAATTTTTCCAGTTTTTTTATTGGAAATGATGTCGTTTAATGTCACATTGCACTCTGAAATGAAGCATTGTACAAATAAGCTATTGGAGCTAAAAACAATATCATGGAATCAATTTTCTAAACATAGCCACCTTTAGCAGATACAACAGCAGAACACACTTGTGGCATTCTCTCTACAATAGAAATAAAATATTCTTCAGGAAGTTCTTCAGTGTTTTTATGAGTTTTTATTTCAGTGCTTTTAGTTTTTTTTATTGCTTTTTGGATTTTAAACGTATACCAGTAAAAACAGTTCTACTGACCCTGGTTTTATTAAGAGTCATTCTAAAATAAGCAGTTATGCCCATAAAAGTGTCAGCAAGGGCAGAAAAATCTACTTCATGCCATTTGTTACCAGTTCAACTGGTTAGTTGCCGTTTCCCATCCAAACCATTCCAGTCAGCACCGGTGGAACGAGTTTCAGAAGGATCTAAAACCTGCACACGTTCCTTAGAGGAATCAAAGCAAAGGGCCCTGAAGCAGGAACAACTGTCTAGTCTTATTAATCCAAACCGCTGAAGTCTGAAATCTCTCAAATCAAATTTAATTACACCAAAAGAAAACATAAAACACATATACCGCAGCAATGTTTTCATCACCCAGACTTAAAAACAAGCAAAGTATGAATCATGTTTTGTTTCCTCTGCCATCCTTAGAAGTTAAAATCAAAAGCACAAGAAAGAAAAGATCAGATGTGAGAAGGAAAACCTGAAATCTGGCAAATTTGTAACAGATAATTTAATGGATTTCTGCTTCTTCAGCTGTCTTTCTACCACAAGACCAGCAGGTGGCAGCAAAACCCCAAACAGAGACAACAGTTCAGACCAGATCGTGTAAAAACGGATCCGTTTTAGGATGAGACTCTTCCATCGCTGAGGATTAAGTTCTAAATATTCACTCACATGCACATCGGGGAGGTCCATCGCTCCAACGATCTCCTTCACAAAATATCTCAGCAGCTCCCTCCAACGTGAAACCATGGTAACAAGAGTAGAGCGCTGTCAGCTTCCCAGATTTGGAGGAAAATATGAAGTCTCCATTTTTTATTGGTCTAGGAGAACCACACTGTTGCAGATCTGAAATCCAGTCAGAACAGGAGAGTTTGTGTACCAAAAGCAAAATGGATCCATTAAAAAAACAAAACAGACTCACCTTTGCTTTCCTCCTCCCTCCAAACCTCCAGATTCATGGACGCCACATCTCTACAGCTGACATAATCTGTGGGATACTTTCCATATCTGAAGGAATCAGGAGGAACTTCCTGGATGTCGCTGTTGTCACAAATAACTCGAGACAAAGAAACCTTCAAAAGCTCCTGTTGCTGCTGCTGCGTGAAAACGCCCTCCGCTTCCCACCAGAACCTGGAAAAAGGATTCTGATTCAATCCTGTTTCACTCTGATGTCCTCCTCGGGAGCTTTGTAGAACAAGTCAACGTTCCATCTTACCTGTCTCCATCACGGAGAACCTTCATCTGCTTCCCAATCAAACAGGCAAACAACGGACCGGTTCTCGACCCGGGTAGGAACTTTTCAACCAGTCCCCCGAGCCAAACGTCAATATTATCCAGATGTTTGTAAACATTTAGGATTTTTTGTGCAACCCTGAAATCTCTCACAGCCTCCGTGAGCTCATCCAAGGTTTCAATCCGTTTCAATCCACAGAATTCCCTCCACTCATTGTATCCTGAAACACATAAACAGCATTTTTACTTATATTGCAGGGTCAGATAAGGGCGGCGTTGTCAGATTTACAGAAGTTTGGAGTTGAACTAAACACCCTAAAGTTCCCAAAGGTTTGCATCCAGTGGAAAAAATAAACATGATGTAATTATCGGAAAATCTGTTGAAATGGAATACATTTAAGAGGTTGTCCAAGCTCATTCTCTCTCTCCATCACACACACACACACACACACACACACACACACACACACACACACACACACACACACACACACACACACACACGCCTGAAGAAGAAAATGCAGCTTATCGATTAGTCAGGAACAACAACAGAAACCAGATCCATCCAGGTCTCTGAGCCGATAAACACACCTGAACCTCACGACTCGATCCATCTGGTTTTTGGTCTCGTTTCCGTGCATCACTGCATCATTTCCTCTTTCGTCTTCACACCTGTAGCTCAGTTGTTGTGGGCTACCAGAAGGTTGTGACCCTGAGCCAGTTAACCCACTCTAAAATATTTAAACCTCTGCAAACCGACTTGATGATCTACAAAGCTGCAGCATCATGTAAAACTTGGTGAAAAGTTTGTTGTCCCCCAGAGAACTTCAGAGCTTAAAATAATGACATTTTTCTTTAGAACATTGATCTAAGTTTCACACCGCCTGACTGGAGACTCAGGTGAGCAGCAGCGCTAATCCTAAACATCTGACCTCCATCAGCAGTCAGCTTAGCCTCACTCACAGCACACCAGGAACCTTTTTGTTCTTAACACCACATCAGCTTTCACACATTCCTCATCAGAGCCTCAGAAAGCTTTTCACACTTCCGAAGTGCTGAAGAATCACTGAAGTTTCCTCTTGACACATTAGTTAGGTTTTATCTGCAAAGCAACAATCATGCAGGAGAAGCTTCAGAGGCGATCGTTGAAAGAAGAAAACACGTAACGTTTCACAATCCTTGTTTTTGTATTTATGAGCCTTTTCTGCAGCTGAAGGAACGTAGAGGATAAAAACTGCATGACCGGTCCTGGCAGTCGGTCTAAAATGACCCGAAGGCTCTGAATGCTTCAAGTAAACCAGAGGATTTGAAGGTGCGGAGTGGGATTTAAAAAAAATCTGGCTTAGGATGCTGTAGTGCAGGGATTCCCAAAGTGTGGAGCTGCCGCTAGGGGGTGCGCGAGATGAAAAGTGTAATGGCTGCGGAGCTCAGAGAAGTCTGTCAGGTGTCACCATTAGCGTTGCCAGAAAACTCATTTGTGGGTGGGCCTAAGAAAAAGTAAGTGGGCACAATAAATGTAATTGAAAACAAGTATATTTTACTTGTGTGTGTGTGTGTGTCCTCCACATGTGCCCTAACTTCATAATAACAATGCACCGAGCTTCAGCACTCTGGCCTGCGCACGCCGATATGTTCCGTATTTTATCATTTTTAACGGTGTTGGAGAAATCTGAAGGTGGTGAGTCATTCTGGCAGATTGTAATTAACACCTGTCTCATGCAGGCGTTCTGACCCTGTAAACCTCACACGCGCTGAAGATCTGAAGTTTAGAGTGCGTCTGTCAGAGGTCAGATGCGTTCCAGCGGAACCACGGCTCACGGGTGCACATGTGAGCACATCTGGGCTGGGCAGAAGTAATTTTACAACATTGGTTTAAACAGCGCCAATAACGAGACACAGTGACTTAAACGCTGCAAGTTGTGAAGCGCGTTCCATCTGCGAGCCGCATCACCAAGCGGAAAGTGAATGCGTCAAGCATAAACCAAGCTTCGTGGAGCTGTGCTGCGCGCGCACACACACACACACACACACACACACACACACAGATTCAATAAGTGCACGCTGCGCAAACTGCGGCGCGCCGTCAGACTGAAGGCAGAAATGAGCTCTGCCTCCTCTGTGATAAAAAATTTTAAGAGGTTTTATAACAACATTTTTCATTCCAGGTCAAATTAAGATATTAGCTTCTATTTTGGGATGACGTATTAAAGTCGGGTCCGCTCCAGCAGTGACTCCGAACCTGACTACAACCCCTGTTGCAGCATTTGTTGTTCCAGTCAGCGTGGCAGCGGATCGCAGATTCAGCCACACCATAAAACAGCAATAAGTTGGTCTGAGGCAAAAGTGAACCTCATGGCTATATCTTTTCCCCTATAGACATTTGATTACGCACAAGTAGGTGATCAGCTCAGGTTTATGCAGAGCAGAAGGGAGGAGAGCGCTCTGGCCGCACAGGTTAAACGTTCCTACTTTAAGAAAACCGTTAAATTGCATTTTTTATGTGCTACCTGGGCTCTCTAAATATTTATTTAAAATTAAATCAAAGTAAACTGTAATGGTATCGAATGTTTATTAATTACTATTTAAAAAATGAAAGTGATGGGGAAAAAGGTCGATCATATTTTTTAACCCTGTCTGTTTAGCTTGACGTCTGATATATATATATATATATATATATATATATATATATATATATATATATATATAGCCATGCCGTGATGTGGGGGGAGGGGGGGGGGGTCGACATGGTCGAGACATAGAAGGGGGTGCGCGGCTAAATAAGTTTGGGAACCACTGCTGTAGTGTCTTAAGGACTGCACGGGTGGGTTGGTTTTGGTGAAAAACGCTCTGTGGACATGTCCCCGCTGTGTCTGCTACAGAAACCAAACTTCAACACATGAGCAGGTTTTCCTTCCTTCTGGGAAATAAAGTATTTCACACGGCTGCACGTGGAATGGGTTTGGGATCTCATGGAGTGTGGAACGGCTCTGCTGGCGTCACCTGCAAGTCCGTGGTCCCGCCCCCTCTGCAGGTTAAGGGCAGCCAGGTCCATGTGCCGCCGGGTATCGAGGACAACCAGCATCTCCGTTACGTCTTCTACCAATAGGGAGTTTGGACTCACAGCTGGTGCTGGCGACCCGATCAGACCTCTCACCGTCGGTTCGATCCCACCTGCACACAGAACCTGGACTTAAAGTCTGACTTTTGGTTCATAATTTAAGGTCATAATTATATATAAAAAGATTTTCTGTCTCTACAGGTCTGTTACTGGTTAAACAAGGTAAACTAGTGAAACTTCAGGAAACACGCTTCGCAGCAGCACTAACACTCGGGAGGCTCTATGTGACCCAAATACTGTTTTCCTCTGTGGGTTTGTGAGACATCTCCATAGGGCAGCCTTGGTAAGACACCTTCTTTGACGATCCTCCAGGGACTGAAGAAGGACTCATGAAGTCTCAGGTGGGGGAAGCGCTCGTGCTCCTGGAAGCTCTCGTTGAATCTGCTGAGGACTGGATAAATGGTAGCATGTCCAAACCTGAAGGCTGCTGTGGCGAACACGTTAGCAGCGGAAGCGTCTATGGTGGGGTCGTATCCCCCATAGGGCCCAACGTAGCGCTCCAACGACTCTAGACCGATTATTTTTGGGACATAATCTCTCATCGTTATGATCTGAAAGTCAGAAGAGAAAAACAGTTTGAAATTTAACACAAATCTTCAGATAAACTTTTACGTTTAGCGAGACGTAATCACAATGGAGAGACACCATTTTAAATATCTTCTCACTTTAACTTGTGATTCAACATTTGTGACTCCACTGGAGAAGCTGAAGTATCCCGGAGTTCCGTTGGGAATGGGGAAGCAGGAGGTCAGGCCTGCATCAACCCTAACCCTAAATCAGAAACCAAAGCCTTCGTCCCAGTCCTCGCCGATGGTCCTGGCTGAAGACCAACAGAACTAGAGAATGAGTAAAAAACAAGTTCCCTCAGCAGGATGGCCAAGGCCATTAGAGAGAGTAGACTTGGCCTCTGGGAGGGGTTGGCTGCTTCTCTACATGGACAAAGTCAACTGAGGCATTTCAGACATGTTCTTCTAGGACAGTGTTTCTGAACCCTGGTCCTCAGTGTGGACCCCCCCCCGCCCCCCCCCCCCCCCCCCCCCCCCCCGCCTTGAAACCCTGAAACATCATCCTACAGGGATTCACTTAGAGTAGGGTTGGGCATCGTTTGATTTTGAACGATTCCGATTCCGGTTCCTATCGATTCCGGTTCTTTTAAGACATGACATGTTTTACACGAGCCAGCTAACCACAGGTCAGGACAGATAATAATAATAATAATGCATTGAACTTATATAGCGCTTTTCTAGACACCCAAAGACGCTTTCACACACTCTCACATTCACACACTGCTAGTGATGGTAAGCTACTTGTAGCCACAGCCGCCCTGGGGAGGTCTGACAGAGGCGAGGCTGCCGTTTGGCGCCGTCGGACCCTCTGACCACCACTGACACAGGCAAGTTGGGTGAAGTGTCTTGCCCAAGGACAAAACAGCAGGATACCCCTGGCGGGAGCTGGAGTCGAACCCATGACCCTCCGATCATGAGGCAACCCGCTCTACCACCTAAGCTACTGCTGCCCCAGATGATTGACAGCATCAGCGGGACCCTGAAGGGTCAGTGAGTTCAGCTTTTACTCTGAAGGAGCGTTGCGTCAGGTGTAGCTTGCAACAGGTTTTATAATCCAGCTTGTCAAGGTTCTTTGTGGTTAAGTGCTACAAGTGTAATACTTAGTATCAGCAGCCACTACAGTGTAAGTACTTTGTATAGTACTCTGTGTGGTACTCCAGAGGAGTGTCCCTGGCTGTGTGCTCCACCTGTCAGACCAGCCAGTCAAACAAAAAAGCGAAATGAGCACCAGAAGCCTGATTAGTTCCTGAACCCCGACGCGTCCGTTTGATCCGGAAAACACTCGATGGATGCAGATTCCTCCTTCCTCCTGCAGCTCCTATTTAGTGGAGTAAAGTGGTGCTTTCACTCGGCCCGTTACAGGAGCAGCTGCTGCAGGATTTAAATAGAGGAAGTGTTGCATTGGGATTCACCACAGAGCTGTCAGCTGTTTTCCAGCAGGATGGAAAAAGGGAATTGTTTTACTTCAAAAACACGCCGGGGCGCTGGTTTCCAACACTAACGTTTCTGTTCACATTATAAATGTTATCTGCACTAAAATAGGTCATCTTAGACTTTTATCAGGTGTTCGACGCAACGGAGCCGTTAACTGGATTAGTGTCACCTGTGCTTCCTGGGATGAGTCTAAACATCTGCAGATAAACAGCAGCTTTCCCTCGACAGCTGCTTTTACCAATTATTCAGCAGGAAAGCAGAATCGTGACAGAAGAGACGCATGGAGGCAAACACACTTCATATTTAAAGTAGGCTGCTAAAAATCCAGAGAGAAATAAAAATGAATCAGTCGTCAGCAGACTGAAGTTAAAGTGTTAAATTATAAATCTATTTAACTTGGTTTTTTTTATATATATATTTGGAACATTTTAAATGTTCAGCTAAAGCGTTACTTCCTGTTCGTCTTTTAGATCTGGAATGATGTCTGCGAGAGAGATGAAGAAACCACCCTTTGTCACAATTTTTGACAGGTCTACTGTTCTTTGACCTTTATGAACTGTATGGTTTTGTTGGTGTGTTTATGTTGTATCATAACACCAACATAAGCACACCAACAAAACCATACACAACAGTTAGAAACAGACTAGTGCACCCAAAAGACAAGATATCAGCTGGACTTAAATGTGGAGTCGTTTACGAAATCCCACGCAAACTCTGCAATTAAACATACGTAGGAGAAACCGGACGCCAACTCAACACACGAACAGTAGAGCATAGAAAGGAGTGCGAGAAAGAAACAGGTCGAAAACACACAAGAGCAGCAAAAGAAGAAGCAGAAAGTACAATAAAGAAGTCAGCCGTAACAGATCACTGCACAAGAGAAAACCATGTAATGGACTGGGACAACACAAGGATCATAAACACCGAACAACAGAAATACAAAAGATGGATAAAAGAAGCTATCGAGATAAGGAGACGTGGATGTGGGACCATGAACAGGGACGATGGAGTTTACATGTTGGATCGTGCATGGGACTGCATCGTCGGAGAGGGGAGGGCGACAACGTCCTCTGCTGCCCGCGGATAAACGGAGAAGGAAGTGACGCCACCATCGGCGTCAGCCTGAGGAAGTCTGCAGCCGCAGACGAAACGTAGCGGGAAATCAGGTAACGAAACCGTTTCTGTGTTTTAAGAAAGAACTACAGCATGGAGTTAGAAATACGACACGGCAAGAACACACCTAAGATAACACACCCCTCACGTCAGACTTGACAGGTCTATTGTTCTATGACCTTATTATGACCTTTTTTATGACCCCATATGTCAAGAAATTAATTGATGATTGTTGTGTAATGTTATTAATTGTAGTCCCCGAGACCCCTTCTGTCAAGATGTACATTGATGATCTGCTTTGATGTATTCAGTGGTTTTCCCTACACCACTTTACGTCGAGTTACGTCAGTGCTGAACTCTGTGATTATTTCCATTATTATATATGAAATAAAAACCACATCATGAGAAATTAAACTATTCTTATGGAGTTTAGGAGTCTGAGTCAGTTTAAACACTGTGCATGCCTGGACACAGACTAGCCGTTAGCTCATCAGCAGGGGCAGCGTTAGGCCCGGCTACTTGGGCTGAAGCCCCGGATGTTTCTTAGGAAGCCCCGGATCTAAATCGCGGAAGTAACATGCAGTACGTCTGTTTCTTTCAAAGCTCATTAGACTAACATGCAGTACCAAAGTCCAACAGAGAGGGAGCAGCTGGCAGTAGTTTGTATACAGCCTGCCTGAGCCTCCACCACTGAAGAAGAAGCCCTTCAGCAGCTGGTTTCTTCTACACTCTCTGCCTGAAACGCATGAGTGAAGATGAACATAAGGACGTTTTTTAGACCAAAAGTACGGCGACAGAACCCCAGTTTTGATGAGACTGGTGTTGACTCAGGTTTGTGAGTCTTATTTGAAAATATTTGTTGTGCAGCTGGTTTGCCTAAAGTTAGCTTACTATCAGGTAAAGTTGTTGGAGAAAGAAAGGGAATATTTACTATCATCTCACACTAAACACTAACAGGAACAATACTCTGCCCTGAAAATGCTTAATATGTAGCTTCAGATTAATAATTATGTGGTACAAGACATATATGATGTTGACTAGTGCGTGTCACGTGTGTGCGCGCGTGCGTGTGTTAAGCCCCGGATGTTCTTCAGTCCTTAATCCGCCCCTGCTCATCAGTACTGAAGGACCAACTCCATTTCTCTGACTTGAGGCTGTTCAGTAAACTTCCTACAAAAGTAAGATTTTAACTTTTTACACAGAAACACCAAAGGATAGGAATTCTTATTACTCCAGTAGTTTTCCTCCATCGGTCTGCAGCCCTGTCAGGTCGGATCATTTCTTTTCCAGTTTTTGCTTTGGCGTGTAAAACCTCCTCCTGCGTGTTATGCCTCATCCTCAACAGTAACTCAAACTCCTACAGCTCTTTAACGTTTTAAATCTCTGCTCTCACATCGTCCCAGAGTCACCTAAAACCCCATCGACTGACCCAGCTTTCCTGCTTCCCCTTTAGATGATTATTTCAATCATTTACATCAAATGAAACATTTTGTCATCATTTATCTGAATGACAGGTCCTCCAACATCCCTGCATGATCGACGAGCTTCAGCCTGCAGCTAGGAGGAGTGGGCGTGGCTAATCGATCGCCAGCGTCAGAGAGAAATGACAAACCTGCTTCCAGGCGAGTCGGCCAAAGAGAAATTCTTTATAGTAATTCTTAGATTATGTCACATTTTGTATCTGTGGAAGAAGTGGAGATTTTCAGTTTTAAAGACTTAAATCTTCACAAAAGTCAACTTCTTAACAGAAAGCACAACTTTATTAAATCTCTCTCTGGGCATGTCCCTTCAGGTGTCTTCACATCCAATCACCTGTCTCCATTTAGTCCTTTCCTCTGCGTCTTCTACCCTCACAACTACTAGCTTCATGTCCACTTTCACCGTTTTTGGTCTTCCTCTCAGCCTCCTGCCTGATGGCTCCTACCTCTGCACCATCATCGTCTGTCCTCTGGACATGTCCAAAACATCTAGCATGAGCTGTTCCTCTGATGGACCGTGTCTGAGCACCTGTAATGGTTCAGAACGCCTGTGCTCGGTTTCTGACCGAGTCCTCCAAACACACCCACATCACCCCTTCCTCAGGATCCACAGGTTTCCCTCTTTCCTACTCACTCTCTTTTACATTTTTAATGACAATTGTCAATTTTTTTTGCTCATTTTAAATATATTTGTAATCACATTCTAAATTCTTTTTATATTTTACATTTTTTGTTTTTGTGAAGCACCTCGTGACTTTTATGTTGAGAGGCGCTTTAGAAAAGATCTTTTCGTCTCATTCCTGATTATACCCATCCAGGTCACTTCCCTAAAGAGAACCTCAACATATTGAGTTCTGCTTCCCGTCTTGTCCTCATGGACACGGTCTCTGAATCAGCTTTCATTACCGTCTTCCACAGCGGGAAGTCTGATCACACCTGAGACTTTTCTCCTACCTGCTCCTTCACCTCTTTTTCTCTCCCTAGGAACAGAAAGTTACATCCATGTATCGTGAATTTGCTCTTTAAAAGAAAAAAACTGACATTTATTTCTTGAATTTCCAAAAACCTTCTTTGTCAAACCTGAAAAAATCATTTTCATCCAGAAATCCATTGGAAGTGAGCACCAGTTTTCAAAAGTGTTTCTAATATTAAACTGGATGGTTTTCTTTCCAACACGGCCAGGATTTATTTATTAAACTGACACCTATTTTGGTCACACTTCCTTTTACAGTCCCCTACTTACTAAGTACTTACATGGTAATTACATATTAAGTTAGTTTCTGAGTTATTAAACAGTTATTACCATGTAACTTATGTTCAATTTTAGATTTTATTTTATTAATTATTCCCAGTAAATACTGCTTTACACAATTATTGCACTTTTTTTACAATTATACGCTTTAATTACACAGTAAAACACTTTAACTTACTATGTAATTACCATGTAAGTACTTAGTAATTAGGGGACTGTAAAATGAAGCGTTACCCCTATTTTTATTTGGGAAGACTATTTTATTATATTTATCTTTAGGGAAGCTATCTTCAGACTTTTACCTGATTGTTTAATCATTTTGGGGGTTTGTGTAGCTTGTGGCGGGCCGGTACCTGGTGCAGGGCACCGACAATCTTGCGGGTTTCCTGGTAAATCATCTCTGGGCTCCAGTGGTGGTTGATGTGTTTCAGCGCCTCGGCGATGCGATTGTGCTCCCTCAGCCAGAGTGTGTGCAGGGCGATCAGAGGAAGTCCCTCGTTGACCCGGCTGTCTCCGGCTCTGAAACACTCCACTCTTTCTCCCTGCTGGTCCGAGCGACACGCCGAAGGAGTTTTAGCAACAAAGGGAAGATAAGGTCTCCCGTTTGGGTCTGTGAAACGGGTGTTGACGGCCAGTTGCCCACTGAGGTCAGAGAGGTCACGGAGAGCTCCCTCTAGCTGTGGCGTGTGGCTGTAGACGACAGAAGCATCGATGTAAGAAGAGATGGCGTTCAGCTGCTGGCGCTGCAGGTCGGGTCTTGGACCAGAACCAGAACTGACAAAGCAGTCCGGAGTGGAGCGATGAAAAGGCAAACAGAGGGAGTCATCGGTCTGCAGGTCGGACAGAAACACCATTATTTTCACTCAATTTGAATTTTTCACATTTAGTTCATTAAACTAAACAAAGAAATAAAATCAGAGAAAATAAATCATTCCAGTGTCTCTAAAAAAAATCTTCTCCAGGTCTCTATGCTTGATTCTGTTTGGCTCGTAATGGGCCCGAGGGTTAGTTTTTGTCCAAACTGAGAATTTATTATTAATTTTATTCTGTTGAAGGCTTTTTCAAAATCAGGACATGAAGGTCCCGGGTCCAGGAGGGAGACCCAGACATCCCCATCCCCAGAGACACACTCCTGCTCCTCCTGGAGGTTTCCAAGGTGTTCCCAGGAGAAAGGGTCTATAATCTCTTTAGAGAGATCCATGCCTCCTTGTGTGCCTGGAAATCCAGGAGGAGACCAGGAGTCCTCAGCAGCTCAGCTCCTCCTGGATGGTGGATCTCCTTCACTGGGATCTGATCCAGGTTCCATGACCCTAAATCGGGGTTCCATCGTTTATGAGTGGGGAACCAGGACCAGGCTTGGAGGAGCTGCTTTTAACGGAACATTCTGGACCACAGCAGAATCAGTCTTAAAGAAGCAGAAGATTCTGTTCTGTGTACCTGGATGGGAAAGCACGGATGAACGTTCTCACACGTGTTGTAGCAGTCCACGTCGGTCCAAGCGGCGGTGCTGCTGCTGCTCTGAGGGGTGAAGCTGATGTCGTGGTCGATGTACTGACCCCAGTCCACCAGCAGCTGGGTGTACTCCTCATCCGCCCGCTTACAGGAGCTGCTGATGATCTCCCTGCTGACCCGCCGAGGCTGCAGGCATCAGTTATTATTGATCGGAGAACATATGCAGATTCATTACAACACAGACGGTCTGGAACAAACTCATTCATCTTTCAGCTGGAATGATTTTTTTTTACATATTTGAGCCAAATTTCTGTAAAAGCAGAAGGAATAATGATCCTCATCAGAATGTCCTACAGCAGCTTACAAAGAGAAAAACCAGAAATCCCATCAGAAACCCTTAACTGGACTCAAACTGGACCGTGTGGGATCAGATCTTCTGGCTTCAGTCTCTCACAAATCCAAAGAATCGCTTTTGTCCACATTTCAGGATTTAAATCCATCGGCTTTTACACATTTTTTTCTAAACGACTGCAGATTTAAACAGGCTGGAAGAATAAAAGGAAAGCTGCTGCGACCTGAGGCATCAGTTCTCTAATTCCTCCAGTCGGGGGTTAGATTACCGAGGGAAGCAGGAATCCATTATGGAGTCGTTCCGGGTTCCAGCCTTTGGGCTCTCCCTCCTCATCCTCATACTCAGCTGGAAGCCATCGGACCAGAGCGGAGCCGGCTGCTCCCCAGAGAGGATTTATCCTGGAAAAGAGAAGCATGAAGGGTGTTCAGTAGAACTGCAGAGAAACCACAGACTTGATTCTGCTTTAATATCAGATCCAACTGTTGATGACAGCAACGTTCTCCAGACTCCTGCTGGATTTTCTCTGGCTGTGGAAGTTCTACCTGTTGTTGCAGACTCCTGACACAGATCGGTACTTGTGATGTCGACTCGACTCACACAGGTCTGGACTCGGGGCTGCAGGACACTCAGACAGCTGAGCGAGAAGCTGCAGGTTCTCCTCAGACAGCAAGTCTAATGGTTAAAATCAAATTTACTCAATGTTTCTGTTCAGCCTGAGTCAGAACATCCTCTTCAGACTAAGAACATCCTACCTGCTGCTCTGAAGACCCGCTCATGTTCCTGTTCCGCTCTTTTCTTCAGAACCTGAAGCATCGTATGAAAAACTTCTCCTGCTCTGGAGAACTCTTGGGTCTCAGGCTTGGCTTGTGGATGAAACCTGAACTCACTACTCCATAAGACGACAGAAAAGGACAGATGGGAGGACATTTAGGTCTCTTCTGTCCTTCAATGGACAGAATGTCTCAGGTAGAGGACGAACAGCTGATACCTTTGTTTAGAGTATTTAGTCACAATCTGAAGGCTTTCCTTGTGACATGACAAAAGGAGCTCTCTGATGGAGGAACCTGGAAAAATTAGGTTAAGTGTTTTGGTTTAGTCAGATTCAGTCAGCCAATCAGGCGCCAGCTCGTCTAGACAACATGCTGAAGGTCAGATGGGGCATCAGAATGGAGAATTAAGGACTTTGAATGTGGTGTGATCATCTGTTGTACCAGACTGGTCTGATCTACTGGGATTTATACACACAATCATCACTAGGGTCTCCAAAAGCTAGACAGACTGGTCCCTATAGGTCTGCAGAAGCACACCAGCTGCTCCAGATGGACTCCAGCAGCAGCAGACCCCACCAGGTGGCTCTCCTGTAGGCCAAGAGCAGAGACTAAACCTCCCACTGGATCACCAGGACTGGATCAGAAGAGACTGGAAAATCTTTCCTGATCTGATGAGTTTGGATTTCAGGTGCAGTAAAGATCCATCCACTAAAAAGATTCTCAAGCAGAATTTAAAAAAAGCTCATTTCTCTCTTTAATGTTAAAATAAAACCTTTTTGGATCGTTTCTAAGGTGCTGATCTTTAGTTACGGACACTTCTGCTGCAATGTGAGAATAAAAGTAAATGAGTCGAGCTGCAGCTGATGACATCACTCCAGCTGAACATCAGCCCCGTTTTATCAGAAGATAACTAAACAGTGACTAAAATGTTTAATCTAACCCTTTTTAAACCATAGAAGCATTTTACTCACTGTTCAAAGTTGCTTCATCAGCAGAAAAACTGGTCAGAACGCTGCAGAAAAGCTGGAGGAGGAAAATCAAGCTAGTCATCTTCAACAGCAGGTCTTCAGACTGAAGTAACGTCACATTACGAAGGAACAAACTCTTCATCACAAGTGGCTGATCTGCTGGTGCTCGAGTGTTTGGGAGGAATTGGGATGGATTTATAAAAGAAGAAAGCTTTTATATAGCGCCTCCGGATGAAATCACGAGGTCCTTCACAAGAACAACAATAAAAATTTCAACAAATTATAAATCATTAAACCAAAATACGGGGAAAAGGGAAAAATTACATTTAAAAAATGTCAAAGAAAAAGAAACCACAGGATTCTGAAAGACATAATTGACAAACATCTTGAAAAGAAGCCAGGGAGGAAGAAGAGGATGAACAGGAGGTCCCACCGAAGCCTGAACAGGTGAGTCTTCAGCTGCTTTTTAAAGGAGACCACTGAGGACAAACCTCACAGCAGATGACATAGCACAACTGATAGGACTGGTAGCTAACTCCACTTACTTCACATACGACAACACAATATACAAACAACTAGAAGACTTCACCATGGGTAACCCGTTATCAGCCACCCTGTGCGAGTTTTTCATGGAAGACCTGGAAAAAAAGCCATAGCCACCGCCCCCCCAAACTGCAAAATAAAACTATGGAAACGCTACGTAGACATACTGGAAATCATAGCAAAAGGACAAACAGAAACACTAACACAACACTTGAATAACATTGACGACACGGGCAGCATAAAGTTCACTTATGAGTCAGGAACAGAAGGCAGTATAGCATTTATGGATAAGAAAATCACCAGGCAGACCGACGGGACCCTAAACATAAACACATACAGGAAACCAACACACACAGACCAATATATATTATGGACATCAGAACACCCCACTATACACAAAATGTCAGTAATCAGAACATTATATCACCGAGCAAACATAATAACAGAAGAAAGAGACCGTAAACAAGAGGACAAACACATACAACACGCTTTAAAGACCTGCGCATACCCGACATGGGCAATAAACAAAGGAAAACAACAACAGAAAAAAAAGAATAACCTAAGCAAAGAACCAGAAACCCGGAAAGACAAGAACCAAAACCAGTGATAACCCTACCATACATCAGAGGCATAACAGAAAAAATAAGAGCAACAATGAAAAACACAACATAAACACACCAACAAAACCATACACAACAGTTAGAAACAGACTAGTACACCCAAAAGACAGAATACCAGCTGGACTTAAATGTGGAGTCATTTACAAAATCCCACGCAAACTCTGCAATAAAACCTACGTAGGAGAAACTGGACGCCAACTCAACACACGGACAATAGAACATAGAAAGGAGTGCGAGAAAGAAACAAGTGGAAAACACACGAGAGCAGCAAAAGAAGAAGCAGAAAGCACAATAAAGAAGTCAGCCGTGACACATCACTGCACAAGAGAAAACCATGTAATGGACTGGGACAACACAAGGATCATAAACACCGAACAACAGAAATACAAAAGATGGATAAAAGAAGCTATCGAGATAAGGAGACGTGGATGTGGGACCATGAACGGGGACGATGGGGTCTACACATTGGATCGTGCATGGGACTGCATCGTCGGAGGGGAGAGCGGGCAGCAGAGGGCGACAACGTCCTCTGCTGCCCACGAATAAACGGAGTAGGAAGTGATGCCACCATCAGCGTCAGCTCTGAGGAAGTTTGCAGCCGCGAACGAAACTGTCTGCAAGGTAAAAAGAAACCTTTCCTGTGTTTTAAAAAAGAACCAAAAGTGGAATTAGAAATCAGACACCGACCAAAACTTCATCAACCTAATTTATGGGTTGTTTTCTAAATACATAGGGGTAATTTTAGGGTTACATCTGCAGAAACCTTAGATTGTTTTCATCAGCTGTAATTAGCTAATTAATGTAAATATGCTGTTCAGCTAAAGGATTTTATTCTGAAATCCCATCAAGACTCGGATTAGATGTTTCCGATTTCCTGTTAGTGACTTTTAAGGCGACCTGATCCTAGAACAGTCGTTAGTCAAGTGTCACGGCGGTTCTATCATATTGAATGAAAGGTTGCAGCAGTAGTTACCATGGAAACATCTCAGATACTCCTGCTCGCTCCGGGTTTCCAGAGCCGACTGTGAAGGTCACAGCCCGCTGACGGTTGAGCAGAGTACTTCAAATTCACGCTCCACGTGGTGCTGATGCAACCCGATGATGCTCGTGACTTCAGCGGAGCGCTCAGGATCCTCCACATGTTCTCCGGTCACAGCGACTGATTCATCAAGTTACACAAACACCTCCCAGGACTCCTGCTCAGGTGGGATGAAGAGTTTGTCTGATGCAGCCTCTTCTGTGAATATTAGGATTTCTGGAATTACAGCAGAATTCTGAGTTTGAAGGCTTATTTCCGGCCTGCTGACGCTTCCTCATTTCACTGGAATTTTACTAACAATTTAAAGTTTAACTTGGATAATCTTATAGTAAAACTAGCATGAATTAGCATTTAGCAAGAAGTTAAGGAACGGGAAATTTGATTTCTTCATTTCTACATGGAAATGGAGCTTTCACATACCTCAGAGCAGGGTTCACCTCCAGGTGTTTTGGATTAACATACTTTAATTCCAACTCTGCCTCCAGGTCTCCTTTCTGTGGGATAACAGCTAAAAAACTTCCATATGCAGTTTTCCATGATTTAACAAAGTTAATTAATCAAATCAGGAAAAAGCAGGAATTCTGCATCCTGTTTTACCTTCAGCGACTCGTCTGCTTCCAAAAACGATCTGATTTCTAAAACACAAAACGTTAAGACTATTTAACTTTATGTTCTCGGCTATTCAGTCAACTAATGAGACAACCCAAGCGGACATTTAAGTTTAAATACAAACTTTATTTGTGGAAACACGGAGACAGAAGGTTCGTGTTCCGGAACAACTTCTCTAAATAAGGGACAATAAAATCTTAATTACACCAGAAAAACTCTAAAACTTAAAAGTTGGAAATTTCCGAGTCTTGAGACAAAACAGAAGCCAACCCTAAAAAAGTAAAAATTATTTAAAAAATCACATTTAACTACCCTAAATAAAGAGATTGGTTCAATAATATTATTAATAGTCAGAATAGCAACAAGCAGCCAGCAGACACATTGTGTGAGATTAAGTTTATTTCATAGGAAATGCTGTAAATATTCCAACCATGAACCGTTAAAAGTGTCAGAATGAGAATTTACAAAAACAAAATTAGTTTTGTTCAGATTCATTTGTCGAGCCTTCTGGGACGTTTCACGACTTTTACAGACAAACCTAAAGGGGACGGAAACAATCCAAACATGAATAAAAACCCTCCGTCATCGTTTGGTTTTAGGAATCATTTGTCTAAAATGATTTATTTCAAAAAGTCCCTGTTTGTGACCTCACAATAAGGGAAATTAGCACAGAGCCCCCACAGTTGAAGGAGCAGCGGCTCTACTCTGAGTCCCTCCCAATTATACAAGCCCCTCCCCTCATAGCAGCCAATCATGTTATATGTAGGCGTGGCCAGCAGCAGCTTGTTTTCCTTTAAGTGTCCCCTTAAAAGTTTAACCCAAAACAAGGCAAACATTCCTCGAGATGGCTATTTGGGTAAAACGTGTGTGGGTCCAAAGCTGATGACACGGGTCCAACCAGACCTCTCTGTACAGGATGAAGTCCACGACCAGAGCACGGTCCTTCCAGGGTCAAGGTGAGGTCATCTGGTGTGCATGAAGAACAAAATGGGTTCTTGGACTGAGAACAAGCAGTCAAAGCAGGAGGAATCTTTCTGGGTGGGTTTTCCCATCATGGTGGAGGTGAATCGATTCAGTCTAGTGGGTTTAATCCAACATGAGTTCAGTTCTGGATTAAAACCAATCTGAGCCATTTATAACTTGATGGTGCTGAAGAGGTGAAGAGAATGTTCTATCAGGATTCCTAGAACACTTTGGGAAGTTTTCAGCATAGCCGACATCACCATCAGTGGATTTTTGGCATTTAGTCTCTGAATTATGAAAATTAGCATCAACAAAACATACATGATAATCTGTGATGTAAAGCCTGATTTATGCTTCTCCGTCCGCGTCAGTGCAGAGACATGCAACGCCATTATCCGTCCTTGTGTAGAGCTCCGTCAGGCACGCAAGTACGCATGGAGTCGAGCCCACTTTAGCCTGGTTTATGCTTCTCCGTCAGCTCCGCAAGGGACAGACACGCACGGATTGACGGAAGCGTTTTGCTCTCATACTTTTCCGTCTCCTGGAGAGTGTTGCAAAGCAATTGCCCGGCAGGACCACAGAGGGCGTAGCGCTGTTCTGTGGTATCCTGTCATGTATCGGTCCAAGATGGTGTGTTTATATTGTGTTTTTTGTGTATATAAGAGACTTTTAACACGGACATATTCGTCTCTCATTCTCCCACCGCTTCATGCGCTCCCCACCTCTAAACCCACGTTTCCTGTCATTTCCGTCCACAAATAAAACGCTTGCTGCGCATCTTTTCACTCCTCCAGTCACGGGAGGATAAAACGTTCATATTTTTAGAGTTTTTTCGCGAGGTATTCTTCAAACTTCTCCGTGTCTGCCGCTAGTTATCCTCGGCTCTCTTTGCAATGGCGGCGCTGTAAACAACAGCGGCGTCCTGACCAATCACAAGCTTGTGTAATCCGTCTCGTTCGACGGGTGTTTAAAAAAGTGGGCTCGACTCCGTACGTACTTGCGTGCCTGCCGGATCCCTACGCAAGGACGGATAATGGCGTTGTGTGTCTCCGCACTGACGCAGACGGAGAAGCATAAATCAGGCTTTTTTTTAAACAGCCGTCGAACGAGACGGATTACGCAAGCTTGTGATTGGTCAGGACGCCGCTGTTGTTTACAGCGCCGCCATTGCAAAGACAGCCGAGGATAACAAGCGGCAGACACGGAGAAGCTTGAAGAATACCTCGCGAAAAAACTCTAAAAATATGAACGTTTTATCCTCCCGTGACTGGAGGAGTGAAAAGATGCGCAGCAAGTATTTTATTTGTGGACGGAAATGACAGGAAACCTGGGTTTAGAGGTGGGGAGCGCATGAAGCAGTGGGAGAATGAGAGACAAATATGCCCGTGTTAAAAGTCTCTTATATACACAAAAAACACAATATAAACACACCATCTTGGACCGATACATGACAGGATACCACAGAACAGCGCTACGCCCTCTGTTGTCCTGCCGGGCAATTGCTTTGCAACACTCTCCAGGAGACGGAGAAGTATGAGAGCAAAACGCTTCCGTCAATCCGTGCGTGTCTGTCCCTTGCGGAGCTGACGGAGAAGCATGAACCAGGCTTTAGTCTTATCGCTCAGGATTTCAGTTTTAACATCAGGTAAAAATAATCCCACAGAAATTGAAGAAACTGGAAAACTTTTCCAAAGGCTACTTTTGTTTCCAGAGTTAAATAAATCCAACCTTCCTTAGTTTCACACATGGTCTGTTCTCCAGTCTTCAGAAGGCTTTAGGTCTTCTCAGTTTGTAGAAAAATATCAGGAGAAACATATCTGGCTCCGATTCCGACTTTACCGTCTCTTAGCTGTTGTAATTCCCAGGAAAGCTGCAGACAAACAGAGGATCCATGGAGGCCACCTTGGCAGCAATAAAGGAGTGAATACAGTGAAGGACGGCGGTGAGGTTAGCAAACTCCAGCTCCTGAGTCAGAGAGGAAACACGCCAGCATCAGAAACCAAACACACAACTTTAACACTCGTTCTGAAATTGTATTTATATATTCAATTAAAACATTCAATATTTTACTTTCTTTACTGCATTTTCATTAGTCACACGGTAAAACAACGTTCTAGTTCTCATAGTTAACACGCTGCAGAACTATAAGGATGTAGATCATTTGAACCCTTTATCGAATGAGTCACAACACTAGATCACTGATGCTCACTTTTTTGTTTTAATGAACAAAATTTTTTTCAATAATCCCCACCAACATTCAAGGGTCGAA